TACACATTTGCTTGGTTCAACTCAAGTAACTACTAGCCAGCCAGGTGGTTTCAAGAAGGGTGAATAGCCAAACTCCAAGAACCGACTCCCAATACATGTGCTGTATAATTTAGTATAATTAAAGGAGAATTTCTCGCCTTGAACTGTTATTTGTCATATATCATTTTTTTCTATTTGTCAGTGCAGTGTAATGTATAAATTTTCTTAGAAATAATAATTTCCAGGTGTGTGAAAAGCTTATTTGTTCACCCAGAACTTGAGTAATTTACAGAGAGGAACAATCTATAAAGTTAATATGAAATCTTATATTTCATATTTTTATGCCAGTGAATATCCATCAATTCCTGAACACCTATTTCTCGACTAATCCTAACATATGCATTCTTTGTTATTATTTGATTTTCACAACTGACAGACGAATTATCTATGAAATGGCGAGGTGAACACGTCACAGCTCATGTCACGGGAGCTGTGACGTGACGGTTGATCTTCCTACATGATGTTGAAACTAAGGGAAATGCCTCCTAGACAAATATATAGAATCAATCATATTTTCGCAGGATAACTGCCCTATACACACGTCTTGGGCAGAACCGAAGTGGTTCCATGACTAAAACCATCTGAATGCCCTTCGAAGGCCTGGCAAGGCATGTGACTCAAACCCGACGAAAAATGTTTGGGCGAATATTGTCAATGTTTGAGAAACGGCAAATGAAAGGACTTCCCAAGAGCAAATAGGTTATGCCAAGAGGGAATGTGAAGTGTTAAGGAGGAAGTCGAGACGTTGCATGAACACGTCACCTCTGTCTCGGGGATTAGNAAAAAAAGAAAAAAAAAAAACGTTTTTACATGTACATAAGAACATGCAAGTATTCAATAAATGACTTTATTAAGGCAAAAACATAAATCTAAATTGAAATAGCAAAGTTGAATCAGAAACGGTAAATATAACAGAAATGTCAAATTTACAATAAATATATTTGAAATAGGTGTGTAAGGACATTGTGAATCACATTCTAGGAGGTACACATATTAGATTGAAACATCAAATTGACATAGTTGGAGAGAACGAACTGAAGTTGTTTAACACTTTAGTTCAACAACTTCAGCTCGTTCACGCACAGCACATACACACATTAATGAAACATTCGTGTATTCACATTAACCCTGCCACGGTTTTGCGTTCAGTTAATATTCTAAAATTATTATAAAGTAGCATACTTTCTGTTTATCTAATCCGTGTTTGGATCTGACGAAAAAAATATTTATTTTGTGACAAGAAAAATATTAGTCACTTATTAGTTCATATTCATATAAAAATTACATTTAAGAAAATATATTTTGTGACAAGAGAAAAGTATACCAATTTTATCTACACATACGTATATATTGTAAACTGACGTGTATTGACAAAAAGAGAAAATTATTAAGCTGCATAACTGACAAGTAAAAGTAGAGAGCGAGATCAACTATTTCATCAGAACGACCTTTTCAATGTATCAGATATCAATACAGCACATGGATTGGGAATCGGTTCTTAGACTCTTACTGTTCACCCTCCTTGGAACCACCTAGCTGGTAGTTGCATGAGTTGAAACAAGCAAACATGTATTCTTCTCGCTCAACTGTTTGAATGTGGATGTGGATCCTTCTGGGAACGTCAAGACTTACGGAATAATAACAACGGAAAGTACGGCCAGATTTTAGCACAAGATAGAGGATATTCAGAATAACTGGAACGAATTATACATACTGTTTCTTGGCTAAAGTATTTCCATAGACGCTACACACACACACACACACACACACACACACACACACACACACACACACACCACACACACACACACACACACACACACACACAACACACACACACATACACACACACACACACACACACACACACACACAAACACACACACAAACACAAACACACACACGTAATGATGAAGCATCTATAATTTTCTATAATGAAGAATTTAATATAGCACGGTTTCTGTTTACTGAATGTGTCGTTCTGACAAAAAATAGAAAAAAAAAAATAATTCTAATAGATCGATCAGCCTCTACTAGATGGTGCAGCTACGATACGTATTGACAAGGGTCTTTTGCACAACTTTCTGTTTGATTTTGCTGTCATGCAGAGATGGTGAAAACATTAAGCGTTTTTCGTGTTTTATCAAATATGCAGCTGGAATCAGTGATGCATCTGAAAGGGGAAATGCCTCCGCCCCGCCAAAGGTGTTGCCATTTCAGTAAACAAATTCCAGGATATCCAGGCTATCGCAGGTGAAGGATATCCCGCTGCTTAATTCAATCATAACTAATATTTACAGTTTTGTTATCACTTATTTTAAGAAAGCGAAAGATCAGATGGCCTCAGTTATTTTATATAAAAAAAAAATAATAAATAATAAATCATTAATACACTACTCGGTTATTTGTATTCGCCAATCTCACTCTTTTTGCTAAAACAACCTAGGATTTTAGCCTCATT